TGGGTTGATTTTTAAAGCGATTAGTTGACTTTAAAAGCGACTGGTTTACTTTAAAAGTGATTGGTTTACTTTGAAAGTTATTGGTTGATTTTAAAAGCGAATGTTTGACTTCAAAAGTGATTGGTTAACTTAAAAAAAAAAAAAAAAAATAGGTAAACCTGTAGCTTTAAAAGTGATTGGTTGATTTCAAAACCAATTGGTTTACGTTAGAAGCAATTGGTTGATTTTTAAAAGCGATTAGTTGATTTTAAAAGCGATTGGTTGACTTTAAAAGGCATTGGTTTACTTTAAAAGAGACTGGTTGACTTTAAAAGCAATTGGTTTACTTTTAAAGTGATTGATTTATTTTAAAAGTGGTTGGTTGATTTTAAAAGTGATTGGTTTACTTTAAAAGCATTTGTTTTACTTTAAAAGTGATTGGTTGATATTAAAAGCAATTGGTTGACTTTAAGAGTGATTGGTTGACTTTAAAAGCGATAAGTTGACTTAAAAAAGGGTAAACTCGTTTCTTTAAAAGCCATTGACTGACTTCACTTAAATAAATGGGTAAACCCGTTGCTTTAAAAGTCATTGGTTGATTTTAAAAGTGATTGGTTGATTTCAAAAGCAATTGGTTTACTTTAAAACCGATGGGTTGATTTTTAAAGCGATTAGTTGACTTTAAAAGCGACTGGTTTACTTTAAAAGTGATTGGTTTACTTTGAAAGTTATTGGTTGATTTTAAAAGCGAATATTTGACTTCAAAAGTGATTGGTTAACTCAAAAAAAAAAAAAAAAAAGGTAAACCTGTAGCTTTAAAAGTGATTGGTTGATTTCAAAACCAATTGGTTTACGTTAGAAGCAATTGGTTGATTTTTAAAAGCGATTAGTTGATTTTAAAAGCAATTGATTGACTTTAAAAGCGATTGGTTGACTTTAAAAGGCATTGGTTTACTTTAAAAGAGACTGGTTGACTTTAAAAGCAATTGGTTTACTTTTAAAGTGATTGATTTATTTTAAAAGTGGTTGGTTGATTTTAAAAGTGATTGGTTTACTTTAAAAGCAATTGTTTTACTTTAAAAGTGATTGGTTGATATTAAAAGCAATTGGTTGACTTTAAGAGTGATTGGTTGACTACTTAAAAAATGGGTAAACCTGTTGCTTTTAAAGTGATTAGTTTATATCAAAAGCAATTGGTTTACTTTAGAAGCGATTCGTTCATTTTAAAAACAATCGGCTTACTTTAGAAGCAATTGGTTGACTTTACATAAAAACTGAGTAAACTCAATGCTGTTAAAGTGAATAATTGATATTACTCTAAAAAGTGAGTAAACCTGTTGCTTTTAAAGCAAGTTGAGTTTACTTAAACCCAAAAAATTAAAATTCTGTCATTGTTTTACAGTGTGGATGAAGTGTGAGCAGAATAAGTACCCAGTTAAAAAACCCACTTCACTGCCCGTTTGAAGTTCAACAGAAGTTTCTCTCACAATTCCCACACAGCATCATGGGCCATAGGAAAAAGGTGGATATGTGCCTTTGCTTTGTTACACATGTAACACGTTAAGAAGCAACAAAAATCACAAGTAAATGCAGCGTACAAAAAGTTATTTCGAAAACCAAAACTTGATAGTATTGCTATTTTATCCTGCCACTTATAACTCACATTATCCCATCGTAGACACCAGGCTAATGCTGCCTTCAAGTCATGCCAGAATGATTTGTTTACAAGACGAGAGCATAAACAGCATCGCAATGTCACAATTAGTGTAATTACTTTCATTGAGCACAGACTTTGTGAGTTAAGGGCATGTTGATTTAAGAATTATGCCAGCAGCTAATTGCTATCATAATAAGCGGTAATTGTTGATTGTTGATTCAGTTTGTGCACACTTTGCGTACGCTTCACAAAGAGCAACCAAAAAGCTTGCAATAAAATAGTACTCATTAAAGCAGTTTATGATCTGACAAGCTCGAGCAATTAAACTACATTTCCCATCATTCAATAAAACAGGGATTCAGAAACCTTTTGTTTCTGCCAAAGCTAACATATATTAATATATTTACCTGAGATTCTGAGCTAAAATTAAATAACAACACGTGTTCATGTTTTGCAGCCAAAACAGTATGGTATATTAAATTATCATTCTTAAATATGCTTTTATCAAGTTTTTTTATTCATTCATTCAGTCATTCATCTTCAGCTCAGTCCTTTTATTCATCAGGGGCCGCCACAGCGGAATGAATCGCCAACTCACCAAGCAAATGTTTTCTACAGCGGATACCCTCCCAGCTGCAACCCAGTTAAAGTTAAAGAAATAAAAAAAAATTAAATTAAGTAAAAAAAAAATATTTAAGTGAAAATATTAGTTTAACAGTATTATATGATAAAATAAAATGTTTTATTGTTGTTTAATTTTATTAAATTAATCATTTGGTCTTCATCAGTTCTTATACTTCCTGATGTTATTGCAGTTTAAGAACTTTAAATAAATAAATAAATAAATACATTAATTAATTAAAAAAATATTTATTATATTAAAGCTTTATTAAGTGTTTTTTATTATATATTCTAATATTATATTACATTTTATTTAATTAAGCATTTACTCTGTCAAAGAAGAGTAAATGTCTGTCGCAGTCAAAGAAATTAAAATAAATGAATTAAATTTAGTAAAAAAAATAAAATTAAGTGGAAATATTCATTTTAACACTGTGTATATATTAAAATAAAACATTATATGAGCTTTTATTAAGTGTTTTTATTCTATATTTTAATTAATTATTCATTTGGTCTTCATCAATTCCTGATGTTATTGCAGTTTAAGTTAAATTAATAAAGTTTAAATAAATAAATAAATAAATAAATAAATAATTTAATTAATGAATTAATAAATAAAAAAAATAAGTGATAATAAAAGTATTAAAGTTTTAACAGTATTCATTCATTCACTCAATCATTTTACCTTTATTAATCATATTTAATTTTATTATTCAGTAGGTCTTCATCAATTCCTGATGTTATTGCAGTCAATTAAATTAAGATAAATAAATAAAAGTAAAAAGATAAAATTAAGTGAAATTATTAGTTTTAACAGTGTTATATAATAAAATAAAATATCATATAAGCTTTTATTAAGTGTTTTGTGTTCTATATTTTATTATTGTATTTTCTTTTATCTAATTCATCATTTGGTCTTCATCGATTCTTGATATTATTGCAGTTTAAGAAATAAAATAAATAATTTAATAAAATTAAGTGATATATATATATATATATATATATATATATATATATATATATATATATATATATATATATAAATATATATAAATAATGTAATTAATTTTCTGCTTCTATTAAATAACTGATTGCAAATCTCAAATATGCACGTTATTTTGATTTATCAACTTTTCCAGAAAAAAACAATAAAGATTTTTTCACCTAAAAAATCATTCTGTAATCATGATTTCTTTCCGCGATGACTTGAAGGCAGCATAAGTCCACCAAAAGAACCGATCAAACAGTATGACTGATATAATCCAATCCTCGACACATACACAAATACAGACAATTGACAAACGCATACAAACACACACACTACGCCAAAGACGCACAAACAATCACATGACTTATATTGTATTTTCTGCTTCTGCTCTTTTTTCTTGAATTACCATCTAAATTGCACATTTGATTTGGGAGGGACACTAAGAACTTCTTTCTTCAGCCCTTTTGGAAATGAAAAGAAATGAACAGCGTTTTTGGCAGCGTTGAACTCACATTGGCAGTGTCATTGCATACTGGTTAAGTGGTTGATGCAATCCTCTGCAAGATGTGTACATTACATTGAGGAATGCTAGTTTAGATCAAAGGATTCCTGTGGTTTTGCTTTGCCCACACACTTTTAAAACACTCATTCCAATCTCATCTATCTCCTTTTGCTTTTGAGACATTTTAGCAATGTACTCTACGCAAGTACACGAATGCTTTGGTCAGTGCATTACAAGTGCGTTATCCTGATGGGATATTTACACTCTCATTAACCTTAAGGGAGCGATAGAGTTCCTTTCAGAATAAATGACGTATGATAGAGAAAACTGATCATAGCTCCTCTTGTGGTGACTTTGAGAATGCAACACATTCCTGTTTTACCTGGAATTAAAGTGAGACGATTTTATAAAGCTTACCGATGTGTGTAATGTAGCTGTTTATGGATATGAAACATCAAAATATATGGAGTTATTTTCGCACAAAGCCTTTAGTAATTCGGTCAGATTGAAAAATATGCGCTTAAGTGACTGGATGGAAAAAAAAATATATATATTTGTAAATATGTTAATTAGTAAATATATAAACGATCATGGCAACATTTTTTGAGATCATCTCCAAGTATTGCACGATTGTAACAAGCCTAGTTTCTGGAAAATGAATACAGAGTGTAAAGTAAAAAGTGGGGAAAATGATGACAGCATATATATGTAGAAAATGCAAGTTAATACCTGGTTAAAAGGCAACACAGGCTCGTTGTGAAAATGTACCCTCATATACATTTCTGGAGAGCGTGAATTATGTAGCCCTAGCTAAGCATGGCTGCATTTCTTCTTCAAAATGAATGATACGGGGTGGTGTGACGCCACAGACGGCTAAATTTCCTTTTAGAAGTACTGGCTGACTGCTTACCTTCATGTGGACGGCTTTTCCACTGTTACCAGTTTACCCAGTGGCTCACCGCATATGTCAGCTGACTTGAGACGCAGAAAGAAGTTGATTGTGATGATGGGGTTCGAGTGCGGTAGAACTGTTCCAGAAAACAGGTAAAACAAAAAACATAGGGCAAAAAATAACAAGTAAATATCAGGGTGAGAACGTAGTAAGGTCTGAAAAACGTGGTAAAAATCAGGCGGCCATGAGGGCTTTTCTTTGACCCTAGAGATCGATTGAGTTTAGGGAAGGGGGTAATTGGGTCAATCGGTGATTTTGAAAATACTATAGGTTGCGTTTAGGGAAGGGGGTAGTCAGGTCAATCAGGGCGCTTTTGAAAACAATATCAGTGGGGTTTAGGGAAGGGGGTAATCGTGTCAATAGGTGCTTTAGAAAACACTCTGTTGCGTTCAGGGAAGGGGGTAATCGGGTCAATCTTTACTTTCGAAGACACTAATTGTTGGGTTCATGGAAGGGGGTAATCGGGTCAATCTGTACTTTTGAAAACACTATCAGTTGAGTTTAGGGAAAGGGGTAATCGCGTTAATCGGTGCTTTTGAAAACACTATCGGTTGGGTTCAGGAAAGGGGGTAATCGGGTCAATCTGTACTTTTGAAGACACTAACGGTTGGGTTCAGGGAAGGGGGTAATCGGGTCAATCTGTACTTTTGAAGACACTAACGGTTGGGTTCAGGGAAGGGAGTAATCGGGTAAATTGGTACTTTTGAAAAACACTATTGGTTGGGTTCAGGAAAGGGGGTAATCGGGTCAATCTGTACTTTTGAAGACACTATCTGTTGGGTTCAGGGAAGGGGGTAATCGGGTCAATTGGTACCTTGAAAACACTATTTATTGGGTTTAGAGAAGGGGGTAATCGTGTCAATCAGTGCTTTTGAAAACGCTATCTGTTGGGTTCAGATAAGGGGGTATTCTGGTCAATTGGTGCTTTTGAAAACAATATTGTTTGGGTTTAGGGAAGGGGTTATCGGGGTATTATGTGCTTTTGAAAACACTACTGGTTGGGTTTAGGAAAGGGGGTAATCAGGTCAATCTGTGCTTTTGAAAACAATACCCGTTGGTTTAGGAAAGGGGGCAATCAGGTCAATCGGTGATTTTAAAAAACCCTATCGTTTGTGTTTAGGGAAGGGGGGACTTGGGTCAATCTGTTTTTTTGAAAACACTATCGGTTGGGATTAGGGAAGGGGGTGGGTGGGGTTTATCGGTTGGTTGGTCAGCGGTCTCTGGTGGATTTACACGAGAATAGCAGGCATAAATGGTAGTAGCAAGAGAAATTTGAGATCTGAATAAGCGTACAAAGCAGCCTCTGGTGGATTCGTAAAAACAAAAACTGCAAAAATGGTACCTCTTGGGACATATTTCACGATCTCCAAAAATGTATATGGGGTACTTATCAATAATGAGTTTGGGTTGGAAAAAGGGGCGGAATTGGATGGTGACACATTTCGATAAGCATTCTTGTGTTTGCATTCTTGTTCTTGCGTAGACCCACTAAAGATGATCGTTAAAATGATCTCTTTTGTTTTGTTTTATACATTTATTGGAATGTTCTATATAGATCAGGAATTTTCCCTACACCTCGGAACTGATCCAGTCAATTAAGTGAGTGAATTCTTCTTTTTTGATGTTGTTGTTTTGTTTAAACAAGACCTCTTTTTTCAGTCACATAACAGCACTCACAGGTACATACAGACGACGAAAAGTTCCAGCGAATTTCTACACTGTTCAACATCAAGAAGTGACAAAAGTCCAACACACACACACACACACAAGTTCATCCCTCCTTCAGCTAGGTATTGCACTGTGGTTTGCGATCCTTATCCGGATCAATCCTTACGTTCGGAGGGAGGTGGGACACAAACATTGTGATAGTTCAGGAGATTGTTTTCAGCCGTTTTTCTTTTTTCAAGTGAAAGTCAATGATAGAAGTCACCCTGTTCTGCGGTCCGTCTGCTCAAGAGAACAGTTGAGCTGTCAAACCTTTTTTTTCTTTTTTCTCTTTTCTCAAGGAAGACGAGTCTGTTTACCTCTCGTAGATTTCTATTTTTTGAACACAAGACTTTCTCTCCCGGTGATCTTGGCAGTGCTTAGCCTCTTTTTGGTGGGAAAAGAATTCAAATAAAAACAAGTGAATAAAGGAAGGGTCTGCAGAAAAACAAAATAGATAGAGAGAGAAAGAAAGATAGTTGGATGGCTTTTGGTACCCGTCTTTAAGCTTGTGCATATCAACAGGGTTTCGAAGGTGTGGTTTACTATTGGTGGGCGGGGCCTTCAAGCTTTAAGAGCGTGCCATTGGGCAACGGCTGTGCGCGGGTGACTCATCATGTCTTTCCAGTGTTTTACTTCTGCTGGACCGCTCTTCCAGGATAGATAGATCTAGAAAAGAAGAAGAGGAGGAGATGAAATGGGAAGAACCTAGCTATTGTCTTCGACTCTGCCCTGTTATTTGATAAGCAGGTAATGCAGTAGTTAAATCTTGCTTTTTAGTTGAGATTACAATCCAAAGTGACCTGGACTGATGCAACTCAATTTATATAGGTATTGGTCAATCCAATATAAATTGCTTATAAATGGCACAAAACGCTTACTGGCACTCGTAGATTTAAGCACATTCCCCCCATCTTACTCTTTCTGCACTGGTTACCGGTATGTTTTAGATAGATTTTAACATTTTACTCATGATTATGGTTGAAAGTGATCTGGCTCCTTCCTATTTATCTGAACTTGAGACTGTTAACATAACTGGCTAGATGTTTACAGTCAGAAATTGTTAAAAGTTTCCAGATCAAAGTTAAAGAAAAAGGGAAAGCGGGCTTTTTACATTGTGGGTCCCAAATTGTGGGGACACTCTCTACCTCTTTCTATTAGAATACTCTCCACAGGATCCGTGTTCAAGAGGAAATTGAAATATCACCTTTTAGGAAAGGCTTTTAATACCCAAGTCATGTGAGCTTGCTTTTATTTGCTTCATGTTTTATGTTTTGAGTGTTGTTTTATTCCTTTGATCTTATCTGATAATGTTTCCACATTTTGTGTACAGCACAATGGTCAACGACTACTGTTACATTGTGCTACATAAATAAAGTAGGTCAGTAAGTAAGTTTAAAACAAAAACAGGAAAAATGGTAATCAACAATTCAACGAGTCACATTTCGGTAACATTTTATATTAGTGTATAATTCACGCTCCTAACAAACCATTAACAACCCATTACCTAAGACTTTTAGCTCAATAAACTACTAATTAGCTGCTTATTAATAGCAAAGTCCCTTTAAACCAAGTCATTTCACTCGGCGGCCATCTTTGAAACACCTCTCGGGCATTATTCTTGGGCATTCTGTCTGAATGGGGAAACATCTCTCCAAAACTGCCTAGTTTACTATTGAATTTAATATTAGGAATCACCATTAAAATTAAACAACAGATGTTTCTTTAGTTTCATGATTGGCACTTGAACTAGAAAGTGGGCTTTATTCGCCATATATTAATTACTTTAACCTGCCTAGTCTATCTAATTAACCCAGTTAAGCCTTGAATTGTCACTTTAAGCTGTTTAGAAGCGTCTTGAAAAATATCTAGTCAAATATTATTTACTGTCATCATGGCAAAGATAAAATAAATATTATAAAAATATATAATAATTCAGGGGGGCTAATAATTTTGACTTCAACTCTATCTATCTATCTATCTATCTATCTATCTATCTATCTATCTATCTATCTATCTATCTATCTATCTATCTATCTATCTATCTATCTATCTATCTATCTATCTATCTATCTATATGTAGCATGACAAATTTTTAAACAAAGGTTTAGTGTATATCTGTAGTATAATATTTAGTATGTCAATATTTTCAACAAATATTTAATAAACAGCAATATTTATTACATTTAATTGTAAATTAAATATAAAATAAGATTAGAAACATTAAATTGAACATAACATAACATTAAACATAACATAACAATATTAAATTAAACATAATATTCTATATTTCATAAGCTATTTAGTTTTGATTGTTATTCTGCGTATCACTTTATCAATTTAATGTGAAAGAAAAATTCTATTTCTGTATCATTTATAACAATATAGAACACGTTTAGCCATTGGTATCTGCTTCTTGGTTGAAATATTAAGTATACATGAAATATACAGCTGAAGTCAAAATTAGTCGGCCTCCTGTGATTTTTTTTTTCTTTTTTAATATTTCCCAAATGATGTTTAACAGATCAAGGATTTTTTTTTTTACCATATTTCCTATAATATTTTTTTCTTCAGTTTAAATTTAAAAAAAAAACATTTTAAGGTCAATATTATTAGCCCCCTTAAGCATACATTTTTCAATTGTCTACACAGAACAAACCATCAAGATTAATATACAATGACTTGCCTAATTACACTAACTGTCACTTTAAGCTGAATACTAGTACCTTAAAAATATCTAGTGAACTATTATTTACTGTCATCATGGCAAAGATAAAATAAATCAGTTATTAGAAATGAGTTATTAAAACTATTATGTTTAGAAATGTGTTGAAAAAATCTTCTCTCGGTTAATCAGATATTGGGGAACAAATATACAGGGGGGCTAAAAATTCAGGATGACTACTAATTCTGACTTCACTCTGAATTCTGATAAATATTTCAGTTGTATATGCATGCTTTTCTTGACACAGTGAATATGTGGCATCACACCTTGCCTATGACATCATTGCGGCTCAGCCTGTCTTTATCCATGACTGTGATGACGATGGTGGTCTCTCTGAGAACGTGAGCGGGGACGTCAAAAGGGAAGGACTCGTTGAACACCGGGTTCAAACACCTCTTCATCACCACTGTCTTCTTCTTCTCCACTCGTTTATCTTTGTTCATCAACCACACTTTGACGTAGGGATCTGAAACGCACACAAACAGTCTGTCAGAATGGCTGTGGTGAATGCTAAAATACGTTGGAGATGATTACTGCGCGGATGCCACCTTGACACGGATGCTCCATTTGCACAGAAATCCTATAAGCACAGAATGGAACTGTTACATTTGCATTTAATCATTTGGGAGAGGCTTTGCTAAAAAAAAAATCAAGGTAAACATATACTGCTATAGGTGGGAAAATGAAGAGAATACCTCAGAGTTCTTGGTTTCTCTGGATTTACTAGGTATGGACTTGAGTAAAATGTTATTATTTGTTTTATTATGAATAGATTTCTTCCATGTTTTAAATAAAAATATAGCAATAATCAGGGTACAAGCATTTTAAAGTAGACCTATTATGCAAAAATCCCTTTTTTAAGAGGTTTAAACAGTTGTGTGGCAACAGTGTGTAAATATAGCCAGCCTCTAATACTACAAATGTATTTTTTCTTCTTTTTTTTATTACATTTGATGAAAAGAGCAATTAGTGATAATCTCTCTCTCTCTCTCTCTCTCTCTCTCTCTCTCTCTCTTTCTCTCTCATTAGCATAAACAGCCCTGAGTGAGAAGCAGCTGTCTGCTATCAGAGTTTTCCCCATACCTGATGATGATCATGTCAGCAACTAAGAGACATTATAAATATTGAGCTTTAGGATGCACAAATTGACATGTAGTCTCCACAGACGAGCTTCACTTCTTTTGACATTTTCAGTTTATTTGAATTGTTACGACTGAAGTTTATTTATTAGTTTATTATTACGGATTGTACTCTGTCTTTTTCTTTTGTCCCGCCTTCTTGTTGTTTTTCTGTTGTCTTATAGGCTCCCATACCGGCGTGATTCCGTATTCTGATTGGCTGCTGGTCGCAAAAGCACGTATAAAAAGGAGCTTCCGGCAGGGTTCGAGGAGCTCATTTCTGCTGCGTACGGTGTTTGGAGTGGAGCTCCTAGGTTTCCCTCACCCCTCTGGCCGACGACCAACAACCATTGTACTGATCACCATCATATGTTAAAATATTTTTGAGAGATTGAGCGTGTAGGGGTGACCTGCCTATTTATTTGATTACTTTTGACTTTAAGTTAGGGAGTAAGGTAAGATATTTGTATTTTTCTTTAAATGGTAATAGGTAATAGTAATAGGTAATTTAGTGGATTTATTTTATAGATTCTTTTGTTTGTTATTTTGGCCTGTGGTCACCCTGACGAAATGCTCATTTATATAAACCCTATTTTTCTATAATAAATATATTCATATATACTCTCAACTGAGTGTGTGAGTTTGGTTGTCGACCGAAGGGAATCTTTTGCTTTAAGTTTAGTTTAGTTTGGGAAATCCACCACCCCAACACATTTGTTTCTTCTTCGTTTATTATGCCCTTTTTGTTTCCCCTAGACTTGGGGCGTAATAGAATTTAAAGCGCCAGTCACCAAAACTGCACAATTTGGCTCAAAACCTAAGAGGGGCAGTTTTTTTTTAAAGAGTTATAAAACATTATGTGTTGGGTATTTTGAACTTGTAAGAAAAGGGCATAATAGGACTGCTTTAAGGCAAATTGAACTGCTATAATTTGTCTAATACTTATAGTGCAGTTTGTTGGTTAATCTAGTTAAATATTTGCATACTTCTCCAGCCTCCATATTTCATAATTTGAAATATTTAACAAACGATTTGGTTGACAACAGTGGTTCGAGACAAAGTTGTCCAGAATAAGGATGTCTATTATAGGAGTGTAGTGAGTGTTGTGTAATCTAAAGTCATTTACACTTGAAAAATGCAACCTCGCACGCTTGTGGATGATTCCACCCCCCACCCCCCCATATTTGTCACAGATCTCTTAGGGCTCTATTTTAACAATCTAAGCACCCAGTCTAAAGCGTATGGTGCAAAAGCATTAAGAGAGTGTCCGAATCCACTTTTGTTTTTTAAGGATGGAAAACTGAACGCTTCACTGGTGAGAAAACAGTTAAACAGACCATCTGCAGCACAAGGATAAAGAACGAGCCTCCTCCATTCGGCCTCTTTCTTTTTACTTTTACTCTTTTACTTTCATAGAGTAAGGTGTTGTACACACTACACTGAAGACATCCATTAGCCTACATATTTAATTACTTTGTTAAGTGCAAAGATTTGTGTCAAAACTATTTCTAAATTAAGTTCTAATTTCCAGCAAATGAATAAATGAGCAATAATAACTAGGTGTGTTCAAAAAACTGAGTTATTCCAAACACAAGTTCTATTCTTAAGCCCCATATGATGATGCATACGTCTCCAAAACCAGACAGGTGGACAAATTTAAACTTATTTTTGATAAAACAAATATATATACACACACACACACATATATATATATATATATATATATATATATATATATATATATATATATATATATATATATATATATATATATATAAATATGCATATAATAAATAATACTGCTAATAATAATAACATTATACAATTACAATTTGTCATGAATAAACTGAAAAAAGCCCACCGAGATGAAGGCAGCATGGAGGCAGAGTTTTTTATATTTATGTTGAAGATAATTTTTTGCAACATTTTAATCCTTTAATTGTTTTTTTAATATATAAAGATAATTGTGTATTGCTGTACATTGAATTAAGCAATGTGTACGCATTTTGGAGCTGCAAAGGCGCATAAATAACATGCTCTGCGCAGAATTTTAGACCTGTTTTTAGATGGTTCATGGCGCAGTATATTTCAGTTCCTCAAAATAGCAACACACCAACAATGCGCCTTAACATACCTCCTTTTCAGACCAGCACGCCCACGAGTGGTGCAAATGCATTTACCATTTAAACAACATGGCGGAAAACGTGAAAATTACATTTACGCTGGTCTGAAAATAGCAACAATGCGCACCATACACGTCTTTGTTGTGCCGGGTGTATGATAGGGTCCTTGATCTCTTGTAGCCAGATGCTGTGACCTTATTTGACTGACAGGTTAACCAACCAATCATCTTTTGTTTTGTGCCGGGTCCTGTTTAGGGGTGTGGAAATGTTCAAAGAATAACAGCCCAGCCAGCATGCAATCATGTATCATTCACTCATGTTCACAGCAATAACACATTCAATATTCTTAATGATCTGTCAGCAAAACATAAGGGAAATCAATAGGACATGTATGTAGACACAGACTGAGATAAACATTGCAGCTTTTTTAAAAAATCTGATCACGTATCTGTCAAAAACCTAACCTGAATTTTTTCCAAAGCTGTAAACAGTGTGTCCATGATGCTGTGATAGTGCTATTTTGCCAGCTGAGCTACAGGACTATGACTGTGTGTGTACAGTAGGCAAGGACGAGAGTGTGTGTTCATACCGGATGTCCCGCCGATGTCCATGGCTTTGAGATTACGTGCCTTGATGATGCTCACAGTGATGATGTTGGCGGTGGGATTGTAACACAGAGACACAAGCAGGTCTCCTCGACTCCCCTGAAGACATCAACACAAAGAGGTCAGCAGTTCATTTGGTCAAAATTTACTGTCACGCAAGTGTGTGATTCATCCACGGTCAAAGTTTCATCATGTGTAAACAAACAGTGACCATTTCTTCCTCAAAACAACTAATAGTCAACCATTAGTTCCTGATGCTGATATCTTGTTGAATATAAGAATTATAATTATATAATTAACTAATATTTTCACATTTTGTTTATTTATTAATTTATTTAAGTTTTTTAAACAAAATTAACACCAGCAAGGATAAGAGTTAATGAAGACCAAATAGTTAAATAATCAAAAAAATATAAATCACCTAATAATTGCTTATAGAATGTTTATTTTAATATATAATAAAATATAAAAATTAAATATAAATATTATTATTATTATAGGTATAATATATATATATATATATATATATATATATATATATATATATATATATATATATATATATATATATATATATATATATATATATATATATATATATATATGCGTGTGTGTGTGTGTGATTATACCTGTAACCATTGACTTCTATTTGTTTTTCATACTATAGAAGTCAATGGTTACCATTTTCCAACATTCTTCAAAACATCTTCTTTGTGTTCAACAGAAGACAGAAACTGATAAAGACTTGGAACCACTTGAGGGAGAAGAATTAATAGTGATTAAAACGTTTTTTTTGAATGAACTATTCCTTTAACTGAGAGACTTGTACACTTTTATCAATTGATTTGTAACACCACAGGTTTGTTTGAGTGAACTCAGAGGTTTAAGCTCAAACCCTGCAGCTTCTAATCAAGTTACATTTTCTTTCTGAAATCAGTAAGTCTGTGGGAGATCTTTTAGACACCCCACGCCAGAAAAACCCCTAACAGAGACGCTCAAAGACTCAGAGTGCTAATGACACGTTAGTGGATCTCTTGTTCTTGTGTAAAGAGTTCAGAGGCTTTGACAGCACCCAGTGTGTGTCATTACTTCAGGCATGACAAGCTCTGCACGTCACTGTCTATCCGCCGAACAATTCACATCTATTGTTCCTGTCCCAAGTCTACCCCTTTTAGACACTTCATCCGTTTGGCCACTTTTTGGTAACGCTTTACAATAAGAATGTATCAGTTCAGTAATGTGTTTACTAACATAAACAAACAATAAACAATGCATTAATTTCAGTATTTGTTCATGTTAGTTCAATTCAATTCACCTTTATTTGTATAGCGCTTTTACAATGTAGATTGTGTCAAAGCAGCATCACATTGAGATTTTAGTAAATTGAAAGTTATGTTAGTTAATGTTATATCGGAACTGTAGTTAGTTAGTTTCATGAAAATACAGTTGTTCATTGTTAGTTCATGTTAACTTAACTAATTAACTAATGTTGTTTGAATGTTAAATATGCATTAGTAAATATTGAACTATTAATAAATGCTGCACAAGTATTGTTCATAATTAGTTCCTGATAATAAATGCATTACCTAATGAAACCTTAAGAGGGTTAAGCCCGATTCAGCGTCAAAGCTCGACCGAGGGCGTGTCTGAAGTTGGGGCTAACGCGATCGTCATAGCAGCATCAGCCAATGAAATTAGTCAGCAATTGACTACTGTCTGAGCTGGTGTATTTGCATACATCGATCTGATTGGCTGACACTTCCATTGGTGCTTGAAAAGTTGAGAAAGTCCCAACTTCTGCAGCAAGCAACGCCATTAAAGTGGCGCTGACGGATTTTCAATACAGTTTGGCAATTGCCAACGGTGGCGCAGTAGGTAGTGCTGTCGCCTCACTGCTAGAAGGTCGCTGGTTCGAGCCTCAGCTGGGTCAGTTGGCATTTCTGTGTGGAGTTTGCATATTCATCCCGCATTCGTATGGGTTTCCTCTGGGTGCTCCGTTTTCCCGACAGTTCAAAAACATGCGGTACAGGTCAAACGAGTAAATAAAAATTGTCTGTATTGTATTTGTGTGAATGGAAGTGTATGGGTGTTTCTCAGTGATGGGTTGCAGCTGTAAGAGCATCCGCTGCATAAAGACATATGCTGGATAATTTGGCGTTTCATTCCGCTGTGGCGACCCCAGAATAATTAAGGGACTAAGTCGAAAAGAAAATGAATGAATGAATTTTTGTTGTTGATATTAATATGGTTCGTTTTTGTTTTGTTTTTCCCATCATTGACTGTTTGTTTTTTTAATTTTATGTTACATCTAAAAATTTTAAAACAATGTTTATTGCATTACATTAGTTTCTTGTGTGTTATTAAATGAACTAAAGTAGTTTACATTAGACATTTCTTTTCAGTGTTTTACCATATTTTTACTTGTAACTCAACTGCCGTTATGTAAAACTATATTGGATTCCTTTTTACAGTGTAAAGGCTTGTACACAACAGGACGCTTTTCGTTTGCATTTTACGTTTTTCCAGATTTAAACCCAAGCAATTTTTACTGCCGTCGAGCAGAAGAGTATGCAAAAGTACTCCTTGACGTCAGATGGCGCTACACAACTTTACACTTTTGATAACACAGAAGAAGAGAAGAGAGAAAGTTGACACGCTTGTTGTTAAAGTTACTGGAGATTGAGGATGTTAAGAATGTTGAGGATGTTTACTGTATTACTTTGCTTTCATGTGTATGAAATACTGTAGTTTACTTTAGAAATGTCTTGTACAGTTTCTACACAAGGTAATCTTGCTGCCTTAAAGGTTTTAGTTGAATCAAATTAACTTTTCAAGTCATCTCAACTTGCATCAATCAAACAGACAAATAATTTTAGGTTAAAATTTGTTTAACTTAAAAAATATTAGTTGAAACCTGATTAACTTATTAAAGTAAGTTAAAGCAACTTAAAAAATATTTGTTGTCTCGACTTTTTGTTTTTAAATGTTTTACAGTGTACTTTACTATTATTAGTAAAATTCTCCAGGTGCCAATTGTTTTCCTTTAAATTTGAAAGATTTTTTTTACGGTGTAAAGGTGATAACGGAGTCCAGAAAAGCAGGGATCCACTCACACTGCCATCGCTGCAGGGTTTCAGCTCCTTCCATAAGGTCTGCATGGGGACCAGTTCCACTTTGTTCAGAGGGATGGACACCTCTCCTATAGGGTCATTCCTGCTAAAACGGTCATAATCCAGCACTTGCAGGTACAATGTGCGCTGCACCACCTTCTCATAAGGAAACCCTGGGAGAGATATGAGAACAGGGTCATTTTAGCTCACAGTAATAGTTTACAGCTCAATATGGGATAAAAATATACTGTAAATACAAATATGCAGTTGAAGTCAGAATTATTAGCCCTCATAAATGATTGGCCCTCAACATTTCTATCATATTTTTGATCAAATAAATACAGACATTGATGCCCTTTTTTACTCTAGCACAGGGATGTCAAACTCAATTCCTGGTGGGCTGCAGCTCTGCACAGTTTAGTTCCAACCCTAATTAAACACACCTGATCAAACTAATTGAGTCCTTCAGGCTTGTTTGAAACTTACAGGTAAGTGTGTTGGAGCAGGGTTGGAACTAAACTGTGCAGGGCTGCAGCCCTCCAGGAATTGAGTCTGACATCCCTGCTCTAGCACTTCACAACCACCTTCAAACTGCTCTCAAAATTAAAACAGTGTTTATCAGAGATATAAAAAGCACACTAACCTTCAAACAGGAAGGTCTCGTTCCAGTGAGGGTTCAAGTTCTTTCTCTTAACCTTGGTCTCCAGTTTGTGCTTCTTGTCTGGCAGCAGATAAAGCTTGACGAAGGGATCTGAAGTCCCGGAGAAATCTTTAGCCGGCAGATCTTGACCCTTCAGGATCTTGACTGTAAGTGTGGAGTCCTGAAAACTGTACCCCACGCTGAACTGGATGCGGCCCAGCTTTTCACACACCGGTCCTTCATGTTCCTCTTCCTCAGAGCCTGGAGACAACTGAAAAGACAAAGACAAAATTATCAGTAAACACACCAGTCGCTTATCTGAATGTTTAAATTCATTCATTCATTCATTCATTCATTTATTTATTTTCCTTCAGCATTGTTCTTGATTTAATTGGGGTCACCACAGTGGAATGAACCACCAACTACTCTGACTTGTTTTTATGCAACGGATGCTCCATCGTTTAAATTCATTATTTAATTTTATTTTTAACTTGATGCTGCTGCAAACTAATACAAATACTAAATAAACAGCATATATTTTTACCCGAAAAAAAAATCTGATACATGGAAGTATATGCAGACAAAAACATTAACATTTTGCAGTGGCCCAGCCAGAGTCCTGATTTAAATCCAGTTGAGAATCTGTGGAGGGAGTGAAGAACATTTTTATTCTTAAAAAGTGCACAGTAAACAGTAAAATCAAATGAATATAGACATTTGTGAAACTACTTTTGTGTCTTGAGAAAAATCGTGGTATGTGTAGGATGAGGGGCCTGCAGAGAAATATGTCAGATCAACACTATGAGAGAATGACTGTATATTTAAAACAAACATATAAAGGTATATCTGTGAGAGGCTTCCAGGATAGTGAGTGATGTATTATCATATCAATGTACCATTCTGACCATGCATGTAAACACGAAGAAGAAGTTACATCTATTGAGAGACAAATAGTGTGTAGACATACAAGGTGATGGCAAGGAGACTCTCCAATCTAAAGGATGAATGGGCAAAAACATTAGTGTAGACACGCAAAAAGCTGCTCAGCAATTATAGGAAGTGTTTGATTGCTATAATAGCCAATAAAGACTTTTCTATAGATTATTGAGAGGAGTATGAATAATTTTGGACGTGAAACTTTTTGTTCAAATATAAATAAAAGCTAAGAAATATTTTTTCCACAATGATGGCTCTTGTATACATTGCCTTATTGTGTTTAGGAGAAGCCTGACATAATCAGAAACCTTAAGTCATAATTTGCCAGGGGTATGAACAATTTCTGGATTAATAAAGGGACTAAGCTGAAAAGAAAATGAATGAATGAATGAATGGGGTTGGTTAGGGGGCCCCGCGTCGTCGCGATTTTCAATAAACTGTTGGGAACAACTGTGGTCGGAACCAAAGTTCACACGTCTGTGTTCTCTGAACACCTCTCAAGCGGTGGACTACTTCATTCTGATTGCTTGCCGCCAATGTTGCCAACTTAGCGACTTTGTCACTAGATTTAGCGACTTTTCAGACCCCCCTAGCGACAAATCTAGCGACTTTTTTGTTTGTTATTGGAGATTTTTTTAGACTGTCATTTTTCCATACCGTACCGTCCCTACTCTTCTCAACGAGCTGCGTGTGATGCCGCCGGCCCCTCCCCCGCCTCACAGCACTGACAGGCGGCCCAGTCAGTCCTCGTACAGCAGCCTCTCCCACCTGCAGCCCGAGAGCAGATCACCCCTCTGCGTACCGACGACAAATGATTTAGCACAGGCAGTGTGAAGGTATTTCCCTTGTACAGTCTAACCGATCTACTTCTACTTTATTTTAACAATTTATTTGGACCGTTTATTCTTTTCTTGTTCACAATCACAGATATTTTAGTGACAGTTTCTGAACTTGTCTGAGTTTAATACATATGAGAGATTGCTGCACATTCACTAACGTTACACATCTATAATGTTATACTGTATTCAAACAGCAATAAATTTAGTTAAATAAACATGCTTATATAAAGTGTAGTGCAATTTTAAATACCCCTTTATTAACCATAGGCTGTTAAACAGAAACGGTAGAACGTGATGACGTCAATGATATGCAAATTAACGTATGACGTACCCCATCTCCCCCCCCCCCCAATCATCAGGGGGCCCCGTCAGCGATCCCTGCAGGGGGGCCTCCGCATTTTGCGCTACGCCACTGCACAAGATCGCCCCGCCCCGTCATATTTAATTAATTATTTCACTGTAATAATAATAATCATCATCATCATCATCAGGGCCTGACCAGCCACTGTGGTTGTAGTTGCGTTTCCAGTCACAATTTCACGCAAGAGAAAGGGAGCGCGCACGCGTTTTAAACAGTCGCGCGCATCACAACAGCTTCTGGCGTTTTTTTGGGGGGAGCGCATGGAAAAAGGCAGTTTTTCACTGTAACCCCTGGCCTTTTCTTGACATCAGCGGAGACGCGATTATTTGATCCTGGTCCACTTTTGTTGCGTTTTTATACATGTTTTTGAAGTTGAAGGCTACATCTTCATCTAAAAGTTTGTCAACATGACACAGACCAACATTACTCTCATTACTGAGCAAACTGGGTGCACTTCACTGGCGGCGATTCTCTTCCCAGGGGATGCTGAGCTCGCGCAGAATCCTGAACGCTCTATACTCAATACATCGCACTTTGTAAAGAAACTGGTCTGGCGGATATTGCGTTTTGTGAAAAAATACATTTTGTACTAGGCCTAAAATGTACATTCATAAATGTTATTAATGGCAGCAATTCACACATGGATTTAGGTACATCTGAACAGTGATTTTTAATAATTAAATCCAAATGTCAAAAAATGGCGTTTATCGCGTTTAGACTGTTAGACTGCACAAACATAACTATTAAAACATTTCAGTTGTCAATTATAGCACAACCACCCCATCTCCCCCCCTTAAACACACACACACACACACACACATACACATTCACCCACACACAGTTATGAAAATCTGTTGTCTTCACATTAATATGTGTTGAAGGGCGAAAAGTTGTGGGACGGTCAGTGGTCTTTACAAACACCTTAGTGATCCATCACTTAAAGTGGTCTGACAAGCAGCAGCATATCAAATTAATGAACTCCTATCTGTGTGTCAGGACCTTGGCTGAAAGTTGGGCTTAATTTGACATGCCATGCCCCGATGCTCGGATCCTCCCCGGTGAGACACAGAGCTGGCGCTTATAAGAGCTTCTGGCACCCTCTTAAAGAGAAAGCACCATCATTAGCCCTCATCACATCTCTTTAAAAACGCCTTCCCACCCACAAGACAACACGGGGACCCCTGTGAAGGCCGTCATCCTGCACATCACACCAGTTGTAATTGTGGGGCTTTTTGAGGAGGTAAGTTTCCTTTGACACTTGTATGTGTGTGTGTGTGTGTGTGTGTGTGTGTGTGTGTGTGTGTGTGACTGACTGACTGACTGACTGCAGTAACAGAGAGCAGCAATTACTCATGATGCATCCCTGTGTTTAAAGGACTCACTTCAAAAGACTAGCATCGTTGAATGAGGGGCAAAGAATGGAAAATAACAAAAAGAAAACCACAGAAGCCAGTTTGTGCTGTTTTGCTCAGGGAAAAAGTTGAGATGTAAACTCTGAATTGTGAGATATAAATATGGAATTATGAAATGCAAACTCATATTTTTGATATATGAATTGAGAATTGTGAAATTTAATCTCAGAATTGTGAGTGGAAAAAAATATGAGATATAAACTCTGAAAAAGTGTGAGATAGAAACTCATAATTAAACGACTTGGCTTGTTACAGAAAGAGTGGAGGAAGAAAAGAAATAAGATATAAACTCAGAATTGTGAGATAATAAACTCAGAAATTTGAGACAAAAACTCAGAAAAATAAGAGATATAAACTCTGAATTGTGAGACAATAAACTCAGAATTGTGAGATAAACTCAGAAAGATATGAGATATAAACTCAGGAAAAAGTATGAGGTATAAACTCAGAATTGTGAGTTAAACTCAGAAAGATATGAGATATAAACTCAGGAAAAAGTATGAGGTATAAACTCAGAATTGTGAGTTAAACTCAGAAAGATATGAGATATAAACTCAGGAAAAAGTATGAGGTATAAACTCAGAATTGTGAGATAATTAACAGAATTGTAAGATATAAATTAAGAAAGATTATGAGATCTAAACACAGGAAAAGAATGAAATATAAACTCATACTTGTGAGATGTAAACTCAGGAAAAGTACGCGATATAAACTCATAATTGTGAGCTATAATATAAATAAAATGAGATATAAACTCATAATTGTGATATAAACTTAGGAAAAGTATGAAATATAAACTCATAATTGTGAGATATAAAATAAATAGGATAGAAACTCATAATTGTGAAATATGAACTTAAGAAAAGTATGAAATACAAACTCTTAATTATGAGATATAAAGTTAGGAAAAGTATGTGTTATAAACTCATAATTGTGACATATAGACAAAAAAAGAGCAATAAACTCATAATTCTGCAATTTAAACTCAGGAAAATTATGAGATATAAACTCATAATTGTGAGATATACATTTAGAAAAGAAATAAGATATAAACTCAGAATTTTGAGATAATAAACTCAGAAATTTGAGACAAAAACTCAGAAAAATAAGAGATATAAACTCAGGAAAAGTATGAGATATAAACTCATAATTGTGAGATATACATTTAGAAAAGAAATAAGATACAAACTCAGAATTGTGAGATAATAAACTTCGAAATTTGAGACAAAAACTCAGAAAAATAAGAGATATAAACTCAGGAAAGTATGAGATATAAACTCAGGAAAAGTATGAGATATAAACTCAGGAAAAAGTATGAGATATAAACTCAGAATTGTGAGATATAAACTTCAAAATAAGTATGAAATATAAACACTGAACATTTATGAGATACAAACAAAAAAAGAGATATAAACTCATAATTGTGAGATATAAACTCAGAAAAAGTACTAGATATAAACTTAAAATTGGGAGATATAAATTTAGAAAAGGAATTAGACATAAACTCATAGTTGTGAGATAATAAACTCAGAAATTTGAGATATAAACTCAGGAAAAAGTATGAAATATAAACTCATAATTGTGAGATATAAACTCAGTAAAATTATGAGATATAAACCCAATAAACAATATGAGATATAAAGTCAGAAAAATTATGAGATATAAACTCATAATTGTGATTTTACACTCAAAATTGTACACATGAAATCTAAATGAAATAAACTCAGAACTGTTCGATGTAAACTCAAAGAAAATAAACTCAGAATTGTGACATTTGAACTAAAAATTGCTAGACATAATATCTACATTTTGAGATATAAACTCAGAATAGTGAGGTGAAGTCAAATATGAAAATATAAACTGATTCATGATAACTAAATGCAGAATTGCATATACAAGATGTAAAACAGGAATTGTGAGACTAAAACATAATTGTTGGAAAAAAAATCAAAAATGCAAGATAATAATAGAAATTATGAGAAATAATCTTATGATTATGAGATATAACACAGCTTCGGTAAGATTTAAACTTAAAAAAAGAAAGAATTCATGCAGATAAGAAACTGTGAATATAAATATAAATTCAGAAATATGAGATGTAAATTCATAATTGGAAATTGTAATCCCAGAATTGTGAAATGTAATTTTATAAACTTAAAATTGTGAGATGAAGTCAAACTTGCAAAATATAAACTCGAAATTATAATTATTATAATATTATTTGTGAGATTTAAAGATCTGCAATTCCTATTTCCTTTCCTTTCTGTTTTATTTTGCTTTTTTGCACAGGGGGAAGTCAGAACTGTGATATGTGAACTTTGATAAATAAACTAGAAACCAGGAATTGTTGGCTATAAATTTGAATATAGTGTCAATGTTTTTTTTTCTTTCCATGTTGTGTAAATCCTATAGAGTCCAGAGTACACAGACACACGTTGTCATTACCATCAGCATGTCGCTGGTGACAGAGTTGGCCAGGTCTGAGACGGATGAGTTGGCGTCTGTCCGCCGGTGGCTCTCGTCTGGGGTCTGGCCTTTAGGACTGCTGCCGGGTTTGTTAGATCTGAAAAACAACCACAAGAAAAAAAAACAAAACTGTCACTTGTTATTGCACGGAGCATTAAAATACTATTAGAATACTGCTACCATATTCATTTCATGTTCAATTTAAAGTCATACATTGCTTGAGTTGCCTATAATTAAAGGAATAGTTCACCCAGAAACTGAAAATCCGGTCATCATTTACTCTTCCATCACCTGTTCTAAACCTGTTTGACTTTCTTTATTCAGTTAAACACTAAAGAAGATATTTTGAAGAAAACTGGAGACCTCTGACCATTGACCTCAATAGTAATGTTAGTCGATGGTTACAGGTTTTCAGATTACTCTAAAATACTGTGTGCTAATTTGCGTTCAACAGAATAAAGAAATTTATAAAGGTCTGGAACGATTAGAGGAAGTAAAAAGGAATAAATAGTGTATACATTTTCATTTTGGGGTGGACTATCCATTTAGGTGTGTTGTTATTTTTCCCCAACCAAAAGAGCTTTTTGCCCTTCTGGTAGAAGCTGCAACTACACCATCTGACTCCCCAAAATGAGCTTGATAGACAATTACTTAAATGTATCAAAAGATAGCTCGGTTCCTTTATTATACAGGGGTCGCCACAGTGGAATGAACCGCTAACTTATTCAGCATATGTTTTACGCAGCGGATGCCCTTCAAGTCAAAACCCAGCTCTGAGAAACACCCATACACTAGGGCCAATTTAGGTTATTCAATTCACCTATATATATATATATATATATATATATATATATATATATATATATATATATATATATATATATATATATATATATATATATATATATATATATATATATTAGCCCCCCTTTGAATTTTTTGGTAACACTTTACAATAAGGTTCATTAGTTAATGCATTTACTAACATGAACTAATCATGAACAACACATGTACAGCATTTATTAATCATAATTGAACATTTACTAATGCATTATTAACATTCAAGTCCATGCTTGTTAACATTAGTTAATGCACCATGAGTTAACATGAACTAACAATGAACTACTGTATTTTCATTAACTAACGTTAACTAACATGAACAAATAAAGTAGTAAATGTATTGTTTATTGTTTGTTCATGTTAGTAAATGCATTAATTAACATTAACTAATGAACCTTATTGTAAAGTGGACCAATTTTTTTTTCTTTTTTTAAATATTTCCCAAATGATTTATTTTTTCCACCCAATTTCTGGTTAATGAAGAGAAGATTGTTTCAACACATTTCTAATCAAAATAGTTTTAATAACTCATCTCTAATCACTGATTTATTTTATCTTTGCCATGATGACAGTAAATAATATTTTACTAGATATTTTTCAAGACACTTCTATACAGCTTAAAGTGACATTTAAAGGCTTAACTATGTTATTAAGGTTAAATAGGCAGATTAGGGTGATTAGGCAAGTTATAGTATAACGCTGGTTTGTTCTGTAGATTATCAAAAAAAATAGCTTAAAGGGGCTAATAATTTTGTCCTTAAAATTGTGTTTAAAAAATTAAAAACTGCTTTTATTCTAGCTGAAATAAAACAAATAAGACTTTTTCCAGAAGAAAAAATATTATCAGACATACTGTGAAAATTTCCTTGCTCTGTTAAACCTCTTTTGGTATATATATTCAAAAAAGAAAAAAAAATCAAAGGGTGCTAATAACTCTGACTTTAACTGTATATGTATATATATATATATAGAGCACAAAAATCTCAACATTGGAGTAAGTCAACATTTAAAGTTCTACTTTATTTTTTAGTTGACATTTTTGAGGTAAATAAAAGTAATTTGGGTTTTCTTTTCACTGTACAATTGAAAATATACTAAGAACAGACAGAAGAAGAAAAAAAAATTATGATGATCATATCATTTTCAAGTCCTGAGTCGTGGCTGGAAAGGCATCCACTGTGTAAAACATATGCTAGAGTAGTTGGTGGTTCATCTCACTGTGGCGACCCCCAAATAAACCAGGGATTAAGCAAAAGAAAAATGAATAAATAAATGATCAAATCCTCCAGTAAAGTCTAAAGAATGCAGATTTAAACATACTGCAATGTTGGGTGTATGTAAGTCCTCTTAAACTAGAGATGTATGGCTTTTTTAGTTGACGTGAGAAACTGGTTTGTAAAAACATTTCTTGGTATTTAAATCTACAGACACAGATTGAAAAATGAATAGTGATAGTATTTCTTTTTCTAACTATGGAAGTTACAGGTTTTCAGCTTTCTTCAATATATCTAGAAGGAAAGGCTTGAAACAAATAAAGTGTGTGTAAATGACAACATAATTTGTTGAATTATAAAAAACATAAATATTTCAGGAGTTTTATTTAAAGTTAGACTGAAAAAACAAACACTTTACAAAAAGTCAAAAAGCCCAAAATCTCAGAACTGACATAATTTACTTGGTTTCTTGGAAATAAAATGCCATTGACTCATTCCTACCACAGATGTCAATATCTGTGCATCTGCAACATTCTTCTGAATATCTTTTTTTGTGTTCAACAAAAACTCAAAGTTTTAAACAAGTGAAAGATGAGCAAATTATGACAGTTTTTTTATTTTTGGGTGAACTATCCCTTTAATATCCTGTGCTTTTGCTGGCAAATATCTCACATTAATGCATATACAGAAATAAAAAGCTGATAGCAGCTGATTATTGAGAAAAGCGCTCAGTTAGGATGCAGCCTGTGTATGCAGTTCACTAGGTATTAGAGTCTTAGTGATAACACACAGTCTGACCTTTGTCCTCACCGAGGAGCTAAGAAAAAAGGCACCATAGTTGTAATACAAGGACATTACAGTTCTGTGGAGATTTGGGATAAATAATAAATGTTACAATGTTCTGGCTGAGATGAAGTGCACGAGAAAAGGACACAACAGAAATGGCGCTGTGAGGCGAGGAAAGCATTACAGGCAGTATTTACTCAGCTCACAACAACGTGGAGATAAAAAGATGGAAAAATCACTGAGATAAAACGATGGGGCTGTTTTTTTTTTTTTTTTTTATTAAAGAATGTTCGAATCAAAAGAAAGCCAAAGCACAAACAAGTTTATCATCTAAAGCAAGAATTCTGGAGAGGAAACAGATGCAGATGGATGGAGTCGGAAAAACAGAGAGATATCAGATGCCAGGGCCGGAAAGTTGAATGAATCTGAAAGGAGACGAGTCTGGCTTGCATCATTTCTTGTTCTATTCCAAGATCATAGGCAAAAATAAAAGATTCATAAACAAAATAAAAGAAACAATATACAGCAACTGAATGTATTTTTAGGAAAGCCTCTAAAAACAAGTGTTGAGAGCCTCTAAAAACACATGTCTGAGTGTGATCAGAGACAACACATGTTCAGTTCAGTTCAACACACAAAATGTGTTATAAAAACTAATTAATTAAGTTTTTCTTCGGCTTAGTCCCTTTATTCTTCAGGGGTCGCCACAGCGGAATGAACCGCCAACTTATCTATCCTATGTTTTACACAGTGGATGCCCTTAGAGTTACAACCCAACACTGGCAAACGTCCAAACACACCCACATTAACTACAGCCAGTAGTTTATTCAATTCACCTATAGCATATGTGCTTGGACTGTGGGGGAAACCAGGGAGAGAAATATGGGGAGAACATGCAAACTCCACACATAAATTCCAACTGGTCCAGCTGGGACTCGAACCAGTAACCATCTTGCTGTGAGGTGACAGTGCTAACCACTGAGTCACCGTGTCGCCCCGTGTTATAAAAATGTTAGTATTACATAAATGTGCAGCATGAGTTGGTGTCTTGTTTTTGTATGTATCTAATACAACTGTGTGTTACTAAAACATTTGAAGTGTATATTGACATTTATAATGTTTGTGTATGTTATAGGGCTGCAACTAACGATTATTTTTAAAATCAATTAATCTGTCGATTATTTTTCTGATTAATCAATGAATCAGATAATATATATATATATATATATATATATATATATATATATATTTCCAACCGTTTATTCAAAAAAGCTTATCCCTGAGCTTTTATAATAATAATAAAATAATAATAATAATAATAAAAAAAAACTAAGTAGTTTTGTCCAGTTTTCATTCCAAATATCTAAATATTTTTAAATCAAGATACATACTAGACACATGAAACAGCACAAGAAATTATGTCTTAAAAAAAAAAACACACCTCAAAATTAAGTGATTGTTTGCATAAAACAAGTTAAATTATTTGTGAATTGGGTAAGAAAAAATAATCTTAATAAGATATAATCTCAAACAGTTCACATAAACGTGTAAGTAATCGTGATCTATAACATGAGATAGTCGTCGCCATATTTACTTGCGGCTGCACATTTGCCTCATTCATAAAAAGCAGAACACTCAGGATTCAGCACATAAATTCACCAGACAATCCCAAGGGGCTGGTGAACTTAGAGAAGAGTAGATTTAACTTTATAGGTACTTTCACTGTGTCATGTGTGTATCTGACATGAATAAAACACATCTGCAAATTATATTTGAATGGATTGTTAGACTCTCTTGTGTGTTTTACAAACTCTAAATGTTTTGTTTTACTAGTATTGTTGTGTATTTACATGTCTAAAACATAAATGAAGCATTAGGCGGTTAAAACGCTGCATAATTGTGATAATATGACACGTCTTTTTCAGTGGGGTTAAGTTGGTTTTGTTTTAAAAAAAAACAAAACAAAAAAAAAGAAGCACTTTTCCGAAGGTCCCTTACTGAGAGCTCTGCTCAGCGCGAGCTCTCTCTGACTCAGGGCCAGACATCGCGCCAAAGCTCAGTTTGATTTTCTCAGTTGCCGCTCTAGAGGTAAACGAGCTAACGCCAATTTGTCATGCTTGTCAAGCTGGATAACAAGTAAAACATCAGCACCAGGGGCTTTACGGTCCTCACTTTAAAACGAAACAAAAGAGGACCCTGCTGTTGTACCTTCCTCTTCATCCCTGTCTATGAGGCGCCGAGCTCTGTATAAGTGCGC